ACCAGCACTGATCAGCTCCAGGCATGACGAAGCAGATATCGTCCTCTTTTGGAAGGCCAAACAAAGTAGTTTCGTTTTCACAACGAAACACACAGCGCCTTCACGGCATGGCGGCGGCGGCAACAACAATACTACATCGAGAATAAAAGTTACGCCTTCTTTTTTTGCGTGAACATTTGGGCGGCGTTATGTAAATCTTCCCACATAGTGAGGTAGACATGTGGGGGCGTGTTAGAACGAGCCGTTTTAGGTAGGCGTGGTTGACTCTTAACTTTTATAAAGAATATCTCTTTGGATTTGAGACTTTAGTCTTTGCAACTTTACAGATCTTCTTTATGCACCAAGAGCTTGTAACACTCCAAAGAGAAATGAAAAACTGAAATCGCATCATATGACCCCTTTAACATGCTTTTCATATGCATCTCCTGTAACCACTGATTGTGATTGCAGTTAGTTGAAGGGAAGGTCAGTGCCTGTTGATGTCAGACACACAAGTCAATGTGCAATTTTCAAACCTTTGTTTTGGTGCATTGATTACCTATTAGATGAGTAGGTAGTCTTTCAGTTTTGTTCGAGATGCATTAGGACACATTAGCATTTACACTATGAATGCCAAGTGCTTTCTATTGTCCTTTTGTGTAATTTGTAAAATGTGTGCATTGCAACCTGTTTACACTTGTATATTGTGCTGTTCACATCACATCACCCAAGACGGATGTTCACACCATGTGTAAACAGAGCCTTTGTTAGTGGAACTAAATTCTCCTGTTTCTAGAAAAATATCCTATATTTTTCCACTCTCCTTCAAGCATACACAAACAAACACTTCCAAATTGGTATTTCTTTAGACACATTATTGTCTTTTCTTTATGTGGTTCATTTATTCAACAATAATAAAAATGCTTTTGATTGTTTTTCCTATTTCTTTTTCAGTGTGTAAGGATATTAGGATGAGAATCTAGACGTTCCACGTCCCAAGTGTGATAGAAGAACAGCAACAGGAATTTTCCTATTGCTCCCATTGTGGGAGAGATCGACTAGCCTCGTCAGGAGACAGTTTCTATAATTGGTTAAAATGACCAAGTGCAGAGAAGGATGGCTCTCTGCTGAAAACCATTTCCCAGCTCAGCTTGGAGCAGAGCCAAGCCCTGGGTTGTTCGGATGCGTTCCAGCCCCAGCCTGACTGGCAGCAATTAGGGGTGTCTGAGCCAAGCTCAGCTTGCGCTCCGCACAAACACCCCTAATTACTGCCAATTAGGCTAGGCGGGTAGGCAGATTTGAGAAGCTGGGGGGATGTTCAGGCATGGGTGGGCATGGAAACAATTTTCAAGGGCTTAGAAACGTGACTAGAAGGAAAGGTTAATGCTTTTGAGTGCACGGAGGGAGAGAGGGAGGGGGAGTGTGGTGTCTGAGCCGTCGTCTCACCTCTAGTGATGAGCCAGGCTTCTTTTTTAGCTCTTCGCATTTCCGAAACTTGCAGATCTGGTGGCCCGTCTTACGGTTCCGACAACTGCTGCACACTCCACAGTTGATTAGCCTCCTGCAGGGCGCGCAGACCCCACACCTTTTCCTTTTCTTTTTCGCTGGGTTTCCGCTGGATGCGGAGGAATTATTCTGTGGGCAGTCTGCCAGATTGGCAATTTGAAACGCACTGTCTGTAACGGCTGCTGAGGCTGCGGGGGAGTGAAGGGCTGTCATGACGATGACCCCGGGAGGTAATGAGATGCCCCCTAAAGCCGGAATAGCGGAAAAAGTTCCAACACGTTCCGGGAGATTCATTATCTCTGCTTCAGCAGCACCACATTTCAGCTTGTTCATGCATTCTCCTGCTAAAGGTCTGCAGTGTTCAGGGGATAAGCTAGAGAGGAAATTATTATTTGCCATTTGCAGCGTCTCTGGCGGCATGCCAGGTTTCCCCGGCCTTTGGGAGTCGTTTCTATGCATGCTGGTCCTATTAGGGTTTATTGCTGCTGATTTCCTTCCCCAGAGCATGCCGTTATCACAGTTCCAAGGGGACACACCGATTCTGGCGCTGGGAAAAATTGGTGTCGTTATGCGGGCAATCTTAGCGGTCTGTGGAAATGCCCCATTGGTTTTGTAAAAGTTTGCAAACGACCTGTACCTTTCCATTTCGGCATTGTAATCCAACAGCTGGCTTAATCCACCGTCCTGAAGATTATCCTTTTGCAAGAGTGACACGTCGGTGCTCTGGCCGCTTTCAATGCAAAGTGCATTGTTAAGATTAGACATGACTGCTAAGTTTCAAGTGCTCACAAGAAAAATTCAGGGGAGGGTGGCAGTTGTTTTTTGTCAAGGTGAAGCTTGTTAGACACAACACGTTACCATCCTGGTTTATCCTCTCCACTAAAACAAGAGAACAACAATTACGGATACAAGTGACAAAAATTTCCTGTGCATCATCTGACACTTCCAAGTTACTCAACTATAGTGAAAGGTTTTTAATTCACGTCAAAATTGTCAAAATTTCTTTTTTTTCTCTCCTGATTGCTTTAGTCATAAAATTGGGATTCTAATCTTGTGATTTACCATTGTAGCTATGACACTTTTATGTGGCATAACCATAGGAAAAAGGCATAATCATATGTGAAAGTCACGTAATTTCATCACCAAGATTGAAAAAATATATTGTCAGTACACTGACTTCCCAGAAAGAAATGGTAAAATTAGATCATTATTTACTATATTATTTATATAATGGGACCAATACTTGGTAAATAAAAGTAGCATCATAATAGAAACAAAACATGCATGCACATTTAACATACGTTTTTTTTTTTTTTTTTTTGTAATAGCTATCTCAAATATAAGCAACCTCAAACTTTAGAAGTCTCTAATTTAAAAAAAGAAAAAACAACAACATGTGATCATGCATTAAGCAAAAAGTTATTACGAAAATATGTCAATATTATAATAAAGCACATTGTCAGGATTCACCCAATGATACAAGGATACTTTGTGAGGCTCACTTCAACCAAGTCCCAGACCTTGGCGACTGTAGTGTGTGGGGGGATCCATTTCCGATCTCCCAGTCTGGCTGGGTTTTGTTGCCACAGATAAAAGCCTATTAGACACATCTTCCTCTACTTGCATTACCTTTCACTAGACTCTCTCACTGACTGTCTGTGGTAGATTGCAAGACGACTACAGCAATTCAAAGCTCTGTTAACATCTAGTTCTGAATTTAATTTAATTGGATAAATACTGGATAACCATTCATATCTAAGACCCTGTCATTAATCATCTGAGACCTCACATGAAGCCAGTAATGTTTTTATTAAGTTTCTTAAAGAGGCTCATGCTGCTTTATAACTTCCTAATTAAAGGCAAACAGAACAAAACTGAGTAAAAAAAAAAAAAAAGAGATCACTTTACACTCACAAGCATAAGAAGTTTTCTATTCTGAGCAATAATGCACAATACACTGATGATGCAAATCATTAATTTAGTATTATTATCATCGCTGTTGTTTTTAATTTTTCTGTTCACGAGTAAAAGGTGCTTTTAAACCACTGATTTTCAAGCTGTAAACAAAGTTCAGAGAATAAGAAATATCCGATACTCAGAGGAGACTGAAAGAGGTCGAGAGTAGACAAGTGTGCCGTCGAGTACAGCCCGAGACATTCAGATCAAATTGCATAATGGAATTTAATCACTCTGGCGCCTTCAAAACCACCCGAAATAAATAATAAAACAGTGGACATTCAGAAAGCATGCGCCACTATAGCTAAGCGAGAAAAAAAATGAAAGAGCATCACCTACCAGACAATCCAGACACTAGAGCAGCACATTACTGCGATGAATACACAATAAACACACGCCGAGTGATCACTACAAAAACACCATCTTTACGCACAAAACGCCATTCTTCATGCGAAGAAAAGTAGAAGAAAAGGTATATGTTTGTGATGGCGTCCGGGTTGAGCCTGTTGTCCGTGGAGCGATGACTGGAGGTGAGGTGTCTCCTGTCGCTGTGTGTGGCTGATTGGTGCTGAGGTGAGGAGGATGGGGATGTGGACACCAACTGATCATTGGCTGGAAATTACTATAGAAACACCAGGATCTCTGGGGAGGGGGATGCTCATCAATCTCCACCGGGAAACAGCGTGCTTTCTCTCGCTGTTTGGCAACTCTTTACATTACAGTCTCACAGATTACGTGTAAGTAGGCTAATTAATTACAATATCAAGTGTATTTAAAAGCAGTTACAAAATATATTTTCATATTGGCTTTGCCTCAAAAGCTAGACACTTTGGCTCATAACCCTGCTGTCAGAAAGGCAGTCAGCTCGTTAGGCAAGTATGCAGGTAAAAACTAAATGTTTGTCTGGTAACCTAATGTGCTTTACTGTTTTTTTTTTCAGTCAATATAATTATTTACAAATATAACTTAATATATGAAATAACAACGTCTATCACTAAGTTCAGTTAGCACCACATATTTAAAGCTGTGAAATACAAAAGAAAACATTTTGAAGAACACATGGAAGAAGACATTGAACCACTCACTTCCACTACACAAAACACAGTCAGAGACATTTTGTCACAGAAGAAATAACCTACATTTAAAAAAACACATCCAATTTTACTATTTTTGTACTTTATAGCCCAGGTTCTAATTGTATTACGTAGTATCTGCTTGAGTACTTAATCTAGGCACTTTAAAATCTTTTAAAGTGACTTCTGAAGACTTCTAGAATAACATCAACTGAAAGAGTTTTGAGGGCTTAATCAAAACAAGAAAAAAAATTAAACTGTGAACTGGGGGAAATATTTCTTATGTCAAATATTATTATTATTATTATTGTTCATAAAAAATACCAGAATGTGGCTCTGACACTCATAGTGTTTTGACCAACTATAATCACTGTGGTGACACACCTGTTTAACTCTTAAGTTTAGGATTTGCACATTTTTATCGTGTAATATAGCAAAAAAAAATGCTAATTTAATTGAATATTTGTGCTAGCTTTAGATGTATTTTGTACATATTACTGAATGTCCCAGCCAACATTTGTGTGTGGGGCCCATGTGGGTTTCACTGGGTTTTAGGTGGGGCCCAACTAGGGATCATATGCAAAACCTATCTGGGTTTTAGGGTGGGCCCAACAAGACAATATGCTTAAAGCCCCCCTGAAAAAAAAAAATGTTTTCAACACCACACAATTTTTTTTTAAAGCATTAGAGCACACAGTGAGATTGAAATCTCTTCAACTTTTAATTTTATTGAAACAACCCATTTTATTATGCTATATTCTGATACATAATTGTTAAAATTAATATTGAATCCATACCAGAAGTGACAGTGCAGTGTAGCAGATAAAGGACAATCCTCCTCCAAGTGGCCAGTAATCAAGCTGCGTCATGGGCTGGCGATGAGTTTGCTAGTGGGCGTTCTGACTACTGGTTGCCTTCACAGCGAATCAGGTTTCTTGCCGCTAATTACAAACATTTTGGAGGCAAAAGACTAAATATAACAAATACAATTTAAATCTGTACATACAAACAAAAATGAATGAGAAGCAGAGCCTACTTTTTTTGCCCATGTTTTACCCTTATGGTTTGACCAAGAGGGCCCCATATGTGTTTCCCCATTCAGAACCCATATAGAGGTTGCCTATGTGGGTACTACCTTGGGCCTGTGTAGGCAGCCTATATGGGATTAATTGTATTTGCCCATGTCTAACCCATTTGTTAAACCCATATGGGCCCCATTTGTGTTGCCCATTTAGAGCCCATGCACTCATTTCCCATTTGTGACCCAACTAGGACCCACATAGGGAGCCCATCTGTTTTTGCCAATGTGGGACCTACTCAGTTGACCCAAGTGGGCCCCAGATAAGATGCCCATTTTGGGACCATGCCCACTTGGTACCCATGTAGACCCAGCATAAACCATGTGGGGCCCACATATACATGTTGGCTGTGGTGTATCAACATGCCTGCAATCATATTACTAAAAGCCCAACAGTAGGGTCCAGAAGAAAGAATGCTTGTCAAAATTCCTGGTTACAAACTACACTTCCCAAAATCCTAAAGCACAATCCACCAATTCGCGACGTCCTGTTACCATAGATATATGATTTGCAGGGACAGTGCACCCCCAGTGGCCTGGGTTACCCATTCATTTTGTTCAATTTCAGACATGAAATGAATTTTAAGTCTTAAAAGAAAACTTTAAAGCCATTGCAATATTTTAAGCAAATCAAATATTTGAAAATTGCAGGAAAAAATAGACTGTCTATTTTCCACAAAAATATTAAGCAACAAAACAGTTTTCAACACTGATAATAATAAGAAATGTTTTTGAGCATCAAATCAGCATCTTAGACTGACTTCTGAAGTATCATGCAACATTGAAGACTGGAATTTGGTAAACTTTTTTGAGAAGTAACTCACAGGATGCTCTACGCCAGCGGAGTCTTCTTGCAGTAGAACAGCACCTGCTCCTGCAGAACTTGCATCTACCTGCACCTTAAAGGCCAGAGCAAAATTTGGGGCAGAAGGGACAGGGGAATGGCACAATAGGTCTTTTGCAGCATTAAATGCATGGTTACAATCGTGATTCCACACAAATTTCCTGGAGGTGCTGAGGAGGTCTGTCAACGGGGAAACCACAGACGCAAAGTTTCTACAGAAACTTCTGTAGTAACCAGCCATACCCAGGAATCTCCTCAGTTCCCTTGTATTAGTAGGAGGGGGAAAATCCAGTATGGCAGTAACTTTCCCTTCAACAGGCCTTACTGTTCCCTGGCCCAACTTCTTACCAAGATAGGTAACTACAGCCTTCGCAAACTCACACTTCACCAGGTTTAAAGTTAATGATGCCTCAGATAATCTATTAAAAACTTGGTTAAGACTATTCAGATGGTCTTCCCAATTAGCTGAATAGATCACCACGTCATCCAAGTAAGCCTCACAGTTAGTCACCCCCGACAATACTTGCCGCATTAGGCGTTGGAAGGTCGCAGGCGCATTTCGCATCCCGAATGCCATAACGGAATATTGTAGGAAGTTGTCAGGGGTAACGAAAGCAGAGATTTCTGAGGCTCGAGGTGTGAGGGGCACCTGCCAGTATCCTTTTAGCAGATCCAATTTGGTGACGTAACGGGCAGAACCAACTCAGTCGACACAGTCTTCTATTCGTGGAAGAGGAAAAGAGTCGGGCTTGGTTATGTTATTTACTTTCCGGTAGTCAGTGCAAAAACGATATGACGAGTCAGATTTAGGAACAAGCAGGCATGGTGAACTCCAGGGGCTCTGGCTGGGTGTAGCAAAACCATGTTGCAACAAATATTCAACCTCTGACTTCATTACTTCTCTTTTATGTGGATTGACACGATAAGGATGCTGTTTAATAGGTACAGAGTCACCTACATCAATGTCGTGTGTGAGGATGGTAGTTTGGCGAGGAACATCAAAGAACAAGGTGGAATACTCACCTATCAACTCAATTATATTTGTACGTTGGTTCTGAGGCAGGTGAGCAAGATACGAGTCTAAGTTACTTAGTACTGCAGAGTTGTTCAAACGCGAACAGGACATTCGGTCTTCACTTTCGAACAGATCATCTTCCACAGGACAATATGCAGTAGGCAGTACTGTAGTAGTAACCGTAGACACAACATCAGAAACACAGGTTTCTTTTGCAATTTTGTTCGTGACATAAGCCTTCATCATGTTCACATGACACACTCGACTTCCTCTCCTGCGATCTGGAGTTGAGATTACATAATCAGTGTCAGTCAGCCTTTTCTCAACAGTGTAAGGACCCATGAATTTAGCCTGCAGCGCTGTCCCTGGAACAGGAAGCAAGACTAAAACCAATTCGCCAGGTTGGAAGCTGCGTTTTACACATGTCTTGTCAAAACGCAATTTCATCTTGGATTGCACAGTGTAGCGTCTGGCGTTCTTAGAATTGACAGACAGTTGACCCTGAGAGGTCAAGTAAATATCTACAGCGGATCTAAATATTTATAATTAATTAACTAGTTATGATTAATTATTCATATTTCCCCATGAGCTGATTCGCTACAACAGTTACAAGATGAGCTTTTGCTACTTCACAAGCCTTATGGAGACGTTCACGGAAAGTACATACGTAGTCCAATACGTTACTAGACACCGGGTCTTTCGACAATAACTGCTCACACAGCAGTTTCAAGGGCCCACGAACAGTGTGCCCAAAAACAAGTTCAGCCGGGCTGAAACCCAATGATTCCTGCACAGTCTCTCTAACTGCAAACATTAATAGTGGCAAACCCTCAACCCAGTCTCTACCAGTACTTAGACAATATGCACGTAGCATTGACTTTAGGGTTTGGTGAAAGCGTTCCAGCGCACCCTGGGACTCGGGATGGTATGCGCTGGATAGTTGATGATCAACTCCTAACTCTTTTAACACTTGAGCGAACACTTTGGAAGTGAAGTTAGTACCTCGATCAGTTTGGATAAACTTGGGTAACCCAAACGTTGAGCAGAATTTAACTATCTCCTTCACTACTGCCTGAGCCTTAAGAGTTCGGAGGGGAAACGTTTCTGGGAACCTAGTTTCAATACACATCAGAGTCAGAATATATTGGTGTCCCGATTTTGATTTTGGTAGTGGCCCCACACAATCCAAAATCAGACGTTCAAATGGTTCTCCTATCACTGGAATTGGATGGAGGGGAGCTGGGGGTATGGTTTGATTGGGCTTACCCGCGAGTTGGCACACATGGCAACTCATGCAGAATTGGGAAACACTGGACTTCAATCCGGGTCAAAAGAAGTATCGGGAAATGCGTTTGTAAGTTTTGTTAACTCCAAGATGGCCGGAGAGAGGAT